TATCATAAACCAATTATGTTTTCTACGTTCTTCTACTTAATATAATATAAAGTTTTTTATAATTTTTCCTTATTAATATATATTTTTTGGTAACAGACATTGTTTATTATTTAATATATTACTTCGTGGCAGTTGAATCTGACAATCGATGAAATTTGCTTTGTAATTATCGATAAAACTTCGATAATTCATATCTTAAATGAAAACATTTAAAAGGTCCTATCACGTTTGCAGTATATATGATAGAGATATATATTTACTAAAAGATAAGAGTCCACCCATACTTAATAAACAAAATATGTGGCGTTCTACGAATAAAAATAATACCACGTAATATTAAGTGATCAAATGACGCAGATATTCACGTTCTTAAGTTTAATTATTCCACAGTTACCTTGCAGTGATGTAAATCAGATAGAACATGACAAACAACTACTATTATTACAAAAAATACAAGGTAATATTATCACTGTGACTCGCCTATAAATACGAACAGCAGTTTTGTTGCAAGACAGCGCAAAATAAACGCACTTACGCTACGTTTGATATTTCTTGAGACATTTCTGAAGAACTTAAAATGAAGACTTTGACGATTATGTGTCATATTATGTGCATATTGGCCATTACAGTAAGTACCAAGTTACGAATAAATTTCATTATGACTCCACGAAGTATTTTGTATCAATGAGTAAATGATTTAAATTGTATTACACGTGTTTTGGATTCGAAATGTATTTAAATTTCGACATTTTATGCAACAATATTTAAAAAGCAAGATAGTTCAAGTGGCACATGTATTAACACATTGGTGATACATTAGAAAATAAGAAATCTCATTTTTATGCAAGTATGCTTTAGTTATATAAAACGAGATTTCTTATTCCCCGAATATATGTTCAAAATTCTAGCAATCTTGAGCAAAATTTTATTCAATGTATTAATAGCCAATGTATTAATATTATACTTTGCTCAAAGTTTGCCGATATCAAGTAGAAGAAATTACTCCTAAATAATTTCAATCAATTTCACAACCATTTTGTTTTATTTAAAGACATATGTCTGCAGCTTGAAAATTAAAATGGCATAGAGAAACAGTTTTGATCCTTAGATTAAAATAACCTTTTTTGATGTTACCCGCGAAACGACAAATGTTATGTATATACTAAATAATAATGTAAAAAGAGAGAATTTTTTTCTAACCACACTGAATAATGAAATGTTTTTTGTTGGAAACAAATAATAATAGTCGCAAAACCTACTACTTCTTGCAGATAAAACATTCGTTTCAAGCTGACAGATATCGCGATTGCACTTCATTATTAATTCAAATAATTTCTATATACTTGAATGTGATCAATCTTTTCAGACGATTGTTTACAGTTTAGACCCTATGCGATTACGAAAGTTCATAATGATACGCATATTCAATTATTTAGCCTTTCAATTTGTCGTCTGCATATTGGGTATTGGGTAATAAGTACTAAATAACATATTTTATTACATATATTAAATGTGAGCAAAAAATTAATATATTTCACATTCGCATATAATCCATACATGTATTTTTCCTTATAATCCACACATGTATAATTCCACACTCTATTTTTCTTGGGATACTCTTGTTTCTACAACATCAGCATTAATTAATGTAAATCAGGATGACCAGTCTGGCAAGTAATGTATAGCACATTCGTTTCACTGCATCTCCTATAAAAGAGAAGCCGCGGCTTCAATGCAACTCAGTTTACGACTTAAGTGTTGCAAAGCATTCGATACTCCTTTGAGCATATTAGAGAATTTAAAATGAAAACTTTAGTAGTAATTCTGAGTGTGCTATCTGTTACGGTATGTACCAAACAACGAATATATTTTTTCACTCACTTCACAAAATCGTTTATCTTAATTAGCATTTGGTTTTCATTACATTATATACATTTTGTGATTGAATTGCATGTAATCATTGATATTTTATGTGACAATACTCAAAGAGCGAGGCGGTAAATTTAATGTTACGTTTAACATAAAGTATTCAGTTACCAAATGAAGAATTTATTTCTAAATTACTTAAATCCATTTGAAATCCGTCTTGTGTTATTTACAGACAGAGTATGCATGTGACTTCAGAATTTAAATGACAAGAAATGGTTTCAATCCATCTTCGAAGTTAATGACGAAGTATCATAATGTTTCTGTATTTAACAGTTAAATACAGACATGTGTCTATATTTAAATAATTCTCAAATAGCAAAGTGATATCAGAGGACGTTATATTGTCGTCAGTACATTGTCTTATGATAGTCACTTTGCTATTGAGTCATCTAATAAGAGAGAACCTTCTTTTACCACGCGTAACTATAAAATTTTCTCTGTTGTAAAATTATAAAAATTGCTATTCCTTGACAAAAAAAATTCGATTGAGTTTCAAACAATCAAATACACGGTTGCACTTGATTATTAAATCAATTCGAAATTCGAATTCAATTTATGCATATTTGGATGTGATCGATTCTTTCAGACAGCGGTTTACGGTCTAAACAAAGCGCGATTACGAATGTTTAACGACAACATAGCGAAGTGCAAAGAAGAGATAGGCGGCACAGCGAGTGAGTGTTAAAATCCAAAACACCAAAAGTATTCTCAAAATATTGGTTAAAACGTGACATAAAATTAAAACAAATTATAATAATATAATATACAATTATAATAATATAATAATAAAATTTCGTAAATATATGAATATTAGATAGCGACCTATATAGATATTGAAATTCATCGTATCTCTTCCTTTAATCAGGAAAAATATTATTATTCTGTATTATTAACAATATTTCGTGTTTGCTCGGAAAATATTCATAAGAGTATCGCGTTTGTGATAAAAAAACAAACATTTGATGGTCAATTGATTCCAGTTAATTCTAACACATCTAAAATAAATTCGAAATATTGCAATTCAGCAATCACATGTATTAATTGTGTATTACAGCTGAACTCACGGTCGAACCAGTTATATGTGCGATAGAAAAGGATGGCAAGGTGAGTATATTTTTATTTAAAGACAAGATGTGTATATTTGTATTTAGTAAACATAGCCTTAATATGCAGTGTAATTAGGCTGCAGTGTAATTGGACGTTGCGAATATATTCGGGATGTGACAATATATAACAAAGATTAGCTATTCATGGGAAGACAATTTTACATTACTCAGTAATTAGAAAACTTTAAATTAATCTTTTGAAGCTTTGATTCTATGTAGACCTTATGAACATTTGGATATAATATTTTATAAATATTTAAAAACTGTTATTTGATATTATTATATTCTTAAACATTAAAATTATTGTATAGAAACATCATTTTTAATGTTTCTATCAAATGATGTTAATAATGACGTTATGTGCAGCATTAAGAACTACATATTTTAAAACGTTATGTATTATAAAATATCATTGTAATAACGTTGCGTTTATTATTTTTTGCTAACTGGGAACGCAATGATACATTAAAAATATTAAGATTAATTTTAATGATTTTATAATACTACGGAAGTAGGAACAAGAAGTGTTACATATTAGGTCGTCAAGGATGAAATTTGTAGAAAAAAGGCAAAGTTGGTTGATAACTTACAAATATAAGGAATTATTTTATTCATCAAAGTATGCACCCATATTGTCAATATACTTTTGCCATTTAAGCGGCAGGTTGTTCAGGCCGGTGGTATAAAACCCTGGCGGACGAAAGTCAATGAATTCCTGGAAGGTCAGTTTTACAGCATTGTCGAAATTAAATTGTTTTTCTATTAAAGAGTTGTCCAAATTGCGGAAGAAGTGGTAGTCAGTGGGGGCTAGGTCTGGTGAGTATGGAGAATGATGAAGAAGTTCCAACTCCAATTCCTGTAGTTTTGCCACAGTCATTTGAGCAGTGCGTGGTCTAGCGTTATCACGCAATAAGATAAGAGTCGATCTGTTGACCAATCTAGGCTGTTTTTCTTTAAGTTTTTGCATCATTTCGTCCAGTTGGTTGCAGTATATTTCTGCTGTGATCGATGAGCCAGGTTTCATGAAATCATAATATATCACACCTGCGCTAGACCACCAAACAGTCACCATCAACTACTTTTCATGAATATTGCGCTTTGGAGTGTGTTTTGGTGATTCATTCTTGTCCAACCACTGTGCTGAACATTTGCGATTGTCATATTGGATCCATTTCTGATCACAAGTGACAATTCGATTAAAAAATGGATCAGATTTGTGACGAGAAAGCAACAGCAAGCAAGCTTCCAAACGCTTTTGTTTCTGTTTTTCATTCAGCTCANTAGTTCATGTGGAATCCACTAATCCAATTTTTTCACTCTACCGATTTGAGCTAAATGAGTTAATATTGTTTGTTTGCTAACACCAAACTTCAACGATAATTCATAGGCACTCTGAGATGGGTCAGACTCAACGGTGACCTTTAGTTCGTCATTATTGACCTTTGATTCCGGGCGACCGCGTGGCTCATTTGTGAGGTTAAAGTTATCTGTATGAAATTTGGCCAATCAATTTGATACTGTCTGCTACATAGTAACTCTAGAGTCAAATACAATATTAATGTTTCGCATGGTCTGCGATGCTGTAGTTCCACGTAAGAACTCATACTTCATAATAGTGCGAATTTCCGACCGTTCCATTTTCAAAAAAATTAATTTTTAAAAAAGGTTTTAATATTTTTTAGAGCTTACAATAATTTCTTTA